TCCGAGTTATCGCCCTTTATTTTTCGATTTTTTTCGAATTTTCTGCCCATTTCCCAACCCTTATATTTTTGGGAAAGGATAAATCGATATTTCTGAAAGTCCTGGAACATAAAGCTATATAGTCAGACCGCTGGATAAAGCAATTTCAACAACGGTCCGGAAACCGGAAGTAGTCGAAATAATGTCCCATATTTCGGAAAAAAATCAAAAAATGGGTGTTTTGGGGAAAAACTCGATTTCTCCGTCCAATATCAATGGATAAAACAAATTAAGCTTTCGTTGAGTGGCCCGAGGAATGGACTGTCGTATGATGCCCAATTTATACGGATACTATGACCAAGCAGCAAAATATGACAAGCTGAAAATCAAGTATTTTCTGATTTGGGGCGTTTTTGGACGCCTGTATCTCGAAATCTTAACCGCAACTTTTTTTTAACTTTCTCTATCGAGAGTCCATTCGATAGTCTTGTGAATTATGCCATCCAATAAGACTTTGAAATGTCTGGAATAGGATAAAAAAGGGACTGAAAATCGAAAAAAGTCGAAAAATCGTGAAATTTTGCAAAATGCTCTATTACTTTATTATTTAAACAAATTTTTACAAAAAGATTACAGATTCGGATAGCTGACCTTATTACAATTCTAACGATGTATAATATGCATTGAGTTATTGAAATTTAATTTTCGATATTTTGACATTTTTGCATTTTTGGCAACTTTGAACATAGGATTTCTCAGGGTCATTTTATCTGATCCGATAATGTAATATATCATTACAGAGCCCTGCCGCTATTTAATTGCCCAAACTGGTTATTAAAACTATTCCGACAATAATCTCCATACCGGAAGAATTCAAAAAATGAAAAAAAAGGTTAAAAAATTGTCGCTCTTGCGAAAAGCTGGATTTCTCGGTCAGATATTACCGGACCAAAAGAAGTAAAGTGTCTTTGGATAGCCCCATTAATGGACTATTATATGGCATCTCAATGGTACGATTTCGATGGTTAGAAAATAAATTGTGGTACGTCGAAAATGTAGTATTTTCCGTTTTTGGAGCCTTTTTAGACGTCTTTTTCTCGAAAACGACAACTCCGATTTTTCTGAAACGTTTTTAACGCAGAGTCCTGTGGGTGGGCTATGGCGTGAATCCAACAATAAAAACATTGAAATAACATAAGTTGTCCAAAAAGAGCCTCAATCTTGGAAAAAAGTTGAAAAATCCTTAGATTACTGAAAATGATCTTCTAATTTTCTTTTTTGGAAAACAGCTGAATGGATTATTCTGAAACTTCTTGTACAGAAGGTAAGGTAACCAAACAACTTGTTAAAGCTATCCCGACAATGATCCAAAAAATGGAAGTAGTCGAAAAAAATTTCGGATATTTTGAGAAAAAAAAAACGTAAAAATTAAAAAAATGGAGATCTTGCGAAAAAAGTGATTACTACGCCAGATTTCACCGAATCAAAACAACTAAAGTGTCATTGGATAGTTCGAACAATGGACAATCTTATGAGATCTAAATGGTAAAAATTCGCGGGTTAGGCAATATATAATGGAACGCTGAAGATCTATTATTTTCCTTTTGGGAGCCTATTCAGACGCTTTTATTTCGAAAACTTCTCTTATTTCCTTTCTTAAACTTCTGTTACTTAGAGTCCTAACGGTGGTATATGGTGTGAATCCAAATTTAAAAGCCTCAATATAGTGTAAATGGTACAAAAGGGCCACAATCTTTGAAAAGAAGTCGAAAAATCGTTATATCTGTAAATCTGCTTCTAATGGTATAAGGGAGGTAAAACTGTCCAATGGATCTTTCTGAAACTTCTGGTACAGGAAATTAAGTTCCCATACCACTTGTTAAATCTATCCCGATAATGATCCGTAAACAGGAAGTAGTCAAATAAATATTCGATATTTAAAAAAAAAGACAGTAAAAAAAAATCGGTGCTCTTGAAACAATCAGGATTTCACCGTCGGGTGTGACCGGATCAAAACATCTAAAGTATCGTTTGGTATGACACACTTCCTGTCTGATTCCTGAAAGCCGGTTCAGTGCTGCTTGCAGGTCTAGTTATTATTATTACCTCGATGTTCGATCCTGGTGTTGGCCAAGAAAGTTCATAACGATTTTGCCCCGTAGATCCCCCTTGTCAGTAGTGCAGGACTGAGGGTCTGGTACGGGACAACGTGTGGTCGTTCGGATGGGGCCAAAACCCGAAGTTCCGTGTACACATTGGCGTGCACGTAAATATTCCTTTACAGTTGGAATTCGAAATAAGAGTAGGCCGTAGTGCCGCTGTCTAGACAAAATTTCCCCCATAGCACGCTGTATGTGGTTTTTTTTCTTGACAGGGAGGGTGGGGGCTCTGTGGGTAAGGCGCTAACTCACTTGCCAGGAGGTCCGGGGTTCTAGATCGGTGTTGTCGAAGAAAGTTTCCAGGAATTGTCTGTGGGTGCAGGGCGGAGGGCATGTCAAGGACAGTGTCTATTCGTTCGGGTGGTATGAAAACCCGAAGTTCCGTAACTTCCGTATTAAAGAACCATTGCCATTTGGAAATCAAAATAAGAGTATGCCGTTGTGCCGCTGGCAGGGCAAAATATACCTTCATTAGCCCTGTCGGTGCAGAAAAGTAGGACGTTAAACCCCATTTCATTTCACTTTTGTTCTGACATGGACTGAGACTTTGTCCATCGTTTCAACTTTTGTAAATAGTTTAAAATGACTAGATATCTCTGTCGGCTATAGATAAAACCAGTTGTCAGATATAACTGTTTTATGTGCCCCTGTCAGCCAAGGTTTAAACTAAAATTAGTAAACTGGCCGACTTTCGCTTAATCTTCTGAAACAAAACCCTAATCGTAAAGAGTTTGTTCCATGACCATGACCCTTGTTACATAACTAATCAAAATAACACAGAAGATCAAACTAATTCAATATTTTATTTTCACCGAAATCAAAGAGGTTTAATGACTTTGTATTTACTTTGCACATTCCATTACTTGCAGTTTGATAGTGGAGTGCCATAGATGTGCAGGCATAAACAGTTGAGAGACAGTATACGTAACAAGATAGTGGTGATAATTGGCATATAATTGCTATGATGTGTAATGAAATTGAAACTCGGACGGGATAAGCACCATGATTAGTGGTAGTCCTATTGTTTACTTCACATAAAGTCGTTGTGAGTGACCGTAACGTTTGAAATTAACAATGGGGTTAGTATGTGTGAATGCAGGTAATTTGGTCCGATTATACACAAGTATCTCTAATATCACCTGTAACCGCCTTTGTGAAGAAAATAAGTTTAATTTTTACAGGATTGCAACTGGTTATTTTATACAATAGTTTTGTTTGAATAGCGCGGCGTATGCAATTACGGTGCACGGATTCACGCAAATACGGCATTGTTTAATTACCTCACTAATTCATTTAGTATGAGACCGACTGCAGGGAGCACTTATTTTGAGACCAACATGGCAACATACGCACAGCAGAATAAGAGTGAAAAACATTTTTTTCAAACATGACAAGTTTATTTTATACTGTAATTTTGCGTGAGGAGCTTGACGGATTCGCCAAAATACATTATTTGGGATTCTTCCCTTCTATTTCGGCATTGTTTGTTTATGTCATTAATTCATTTAGTCGCCGATGGATAATTTCTTGACCGACTGCACTTAATTTGCGACCGACTTCATTTTCCTTTGGGGGGATATTTACGCCCCTGACTAAAATTTACAGGGGGGGGGGGGTATCACGTGGCTAAGTGGGTAAGACGCTGGCTCGCTAGCCTGGAGGTCGGGTGTTCGATCCCTGCATTGGCCAAGAAAGTTCTACCAGATTTTCCGACGTGGTTTCCCCTTGTCAGTGATGCAGGATGGAGGGCCTGACAAGGACAGCTGTCTAGTCGTTCGGATGGGACGAAAAACCGAGGTCCCGTGTACACATAGGCGTGCACGTAAAAGATCCCTTGGCAAAATTTCCCCCATAGCACACTGTATGGCGTATGCCCGTCTTCATTAGCCCAGGTTTGGAGCAGAACAGTAGGACATTAAACTCCATTTCATTTCATTTCATTTCAAAATCTACAGGGTGAAATAAAATGGGTAAAAGCAAAATAAATTGTTGATGACTTTTAAATATGACACACAGGTTAGTACAAACTCCATTTCATTTCATTTCATTTCAAAATCTACAGGGTGAAATAAAATGGGTAAAAGCAAAATAAATTGTTGATGACTTTTAAATATGACACACAGGTTAGTACAAAATAAAAGTGTTCGTTGCTTTTTTTTTTTGGTTTCAAAATTAACAACGACGGGTGATATTAGAACTATAAGATAAAATTGCACACGATTTTGACAATAAAACACAGGCAAATTTAGTCACATATACAGTCGCTGCTTTGTTTTTTCCCTTTTAATTTACATTTTAAAATCTTAAAATAACAGGTAACTATTGTTATTAACACCCTTACACGGCCTCGATTCATCGCCATGAGCATAATGACATAAATAATGTACTGTTTAAACACATGAGTCATTTTAACTAAATTACTAGAAAAAAAACAGTGTAGAATTTATTCAAGTATTGTTTTAACCTTGTACAATTGTTACCCCGAGGTGTTGTCTTTTGTACAGGATTTAGATAAAACTAAAAATAAACACAAAGATGACTATCCCACTTTACACCAAAATAGTTTTTTTTTTATATTTTATTCTTTATTGCAAACATTCATAGGTCTGCGTATTCTTCACTCATGAGTGTATTACTATCCATAACTAAAAGAACTTGACGTGCGAGAGTTGCATATGCGATAAGATCCGGGTGCCATAATAGAAGTCTGGATATTCGTGACCCCCCCCCCCCCCCACACACACACACACCGACCATTTTTGTGTTACAACCAGTGGTAGACGGAGTTTTCCTGCTGTTATCGACCAATGAAATGGCTGGACGAGTCACGTGCTATCAGTCAATAAATCTCGCGCTGAGTAACTATTTATAACCATTACAGGTAGTTGAAGCGAAACACAAGCCAAGATGTCGTCGATGGAAGGTTAATCTTACGAGTGACCATCTCCGAACTTCACCAGGAGCAACTCTTTATCAAGTTCTACGGACATTTGGCATGGTGTTTGTCTAGCGATCAAAGCGTGGATGTGTTATTCTTACCTGTGAGCTGAATTTCTTTGTAAAGGAGATTTGACAAATAGGTTAATATATCCGCTACTCGATAAAAACTTGAACCAGCTGGCGACAATCTTGTGTACACAGTCGTCAAACGAGGACAAGGAATTTGTTACCTGACTACTTGTTAAGTACTGTCGAGGTTTTTTCCAGTTTGTGTGTTATCATCAGCGCTATAGTAATTTGACTTATATTATATTAAAAGAAAACTTAAAACACCAAGATGAGTATATTCGGGTGGCGAAAGAGCTTATCTATAAGTGAAAAAGACCCGACCTACAAAGTTCGATATTTGGGCAATGTCCAAACGTCAATGATGAAGGGCGAAGGATGTGTGGACAAACCCGTGTCAACTATTTGGAATAATTATATGAGAAGCTCACATCCTGGTTTAGAAATGAAACTGAGTATAACCGCTTCTGGACTTAAAGCGCACACAAAAGAACAAGGACTAACCGAATACAGGGCACACAGAATATCGTACTGTATTGCCCACCCATCGTACCCGCGTTTATTTATTTGGGTTTATAGGCATGAAGGCAAACGAATGAAGATGGAGTTACGTTGTCATGCGGTCCTGTGTAAAACGGAAGCTAAGGCGAAAGCTATGGCCGTACAACTTCACGAAAAACTTTCTTTTGCTCTAAAGGAATTTCAACGAGATAAATTGCGAAAACAAAATTCCAGATTAGTGCTACAGAGAACGAACTCGTTACCCGTGGCTGGGTCAGTGTTGCCATTACGGACACAATTTCTGAGCACAGGTACAAACTTTAAACCCCCGATTTCAAAATCTAACACGGCCCCAAGATTAGGTTCAATCACGGAAACCCTGGAATGTGAGGACGAGGAGTTACTAGAGGAATTAGAGGAGTGTGTTGAAAATTTGGACTTGTCTAATATTTCAGACGAAAGTGAAATAATAGAGGCCTTGACATTAGCAGGGCATGCTAATAGGTCTGTTAGCGACCAACTGGCAAGACATATTATAAATGTAGAAATTGGTAACGACATCGACGCACTGCGTCAAGACGAAGACGTTCAGTACTGCTTGGATGGCACCGGTAGCACCGACTCTGACGAAGAAAGTGCAGAATCGGGTTATCACGAGGCTGACTCCAAGGACACCTTCGCCTCTTACGATGATGTTGAAGAAGATAGTGTATGCGAATTACCATGTGTGATATCAGACGAGGACAGCATTCCAGATACAGGAAAGGCTTTTTAAACCGTCATTTCTTAAAGTGCGAACATTTGTTTTTACAAACAGAAGAAAGACATTTTTGCCTGTTTACTTCAAATTAATGTGTAACAATAGGTATTGTATACATATAGGATAAATATCTATATTACTGTGTCTGTATAGTGAGATTCCATTATCTCCTTCAGAGAGAGAGAGATAAATGGGATTTAACGTCCACTCGACACAAACTAGGTCATTTCGGAACTAACATATGGTTCAATTTATTTGAATAATTCGCTTGCGCGCAGGGGTTTTTAGCAGAGGGAGGAAACCGGAGGACCCGGGGAAAACCCACGAGGTTGGACAGGTGACCCTACACCTTGTCACGTACATACAGGGAATCGAAACCAATCCAGCTGACTCAATCACAGGCCTTATGATACAGCGCGCACGTGCTAACCATTCGGCCATCCAACCACCCTATCCCCTTCAGACTGTGTGAAGATATCTTATATTATTATGTGTTAGACATTCCAATCATCACATATATTTCGAAGAACTGATTCTGGTTATTTACTCTTAATAACCATTCTATTTGCTTTAAGATTTAGACGTTAATACCATAATTGAAAGGGCAAAAAATATATATGGAAAATGCAAGGACTGTCCTCCCCAGATACATTGGATATAAAACTATGACATATAGCTATCAAACGATGTGAAATTAAGTGCAATTGTTTGTTTTGTTTAAAATCATAAATAGTAGCTGTAATTAAAGACATTTGTATATACATTTCAATTGTTTATTTGTACGAGAATTTCTTTGTAAAAACCAACTGAATACCATGGAAAAATTTGATAAATCAATCATTTATTCATAAGATGAATATGTGTAATATAAGTATTTTTTTTTTCAAATCCCAATTGCTTACATGTACATGGCGTACCTTCAATCTCTCGGGTTATATCCTAAACAAACATGACCTATTTGAAAGTACTTTTTTTTATTTCGGGTTTTTAGCTGGATGGATAATTTGAAGTAAATCGTAAATAAAATGGTGTAAATAGAATTACTAAGACTGACGCGCAGAATAATTATAAGCATCGACAATATTATGTGATATTATTTTATGAGAAATTACGTTTTGTTAATTGTTATATTTTGTTGAAAGGCTGAGAATATTCAGCCTGTATTTGTTATAGGTTATATATCATCTTTGTTAGTGTTAGTTATTTACATAAGTTGTACGAATCTCCGGTCGGGACAAATTGTTATCAACAAAGATGGCGACACGGCCACTAGTGACGTATTTTAAGTGATAAATATTACGGTCTAATTCTTGCATTTCTTCGTCTTCTTTGTAGCGATTAAGATTAACTTGTTTAAGAAAATATTTTGATGCATTATTTGGTATACATGCAATAAAAATCCTTAAAAGACATAATCGGAATTTTAACTTATTTGTAAAGCTTGAAATTTTATATCTTTTGATGGACAGCTTGCCATTCGAGGTAAAACCATCTGTCAGAACGCCACTGAAAATATGTTCAAAAGTAGGCGTTTTACAGTTAACAATATACCTGTAAATGCTTCTCTTTGTGACCGGTGATGTCGAGGAACTTGATAAATATTTTCACTCGTGGCGCCTAAGGATACCGTTTTTATTTCTGTCTGTGCATCATAAATCTTATTACTAAAGTCTTATGTGAAAAGATTATAATATATCATTCTGTTTTATGACGTTGATTAATGCACGGTTAAACATTATATACGCAATATTTATTGTAGCGAAATATACATTCCTATCTGTTCCCTGAAACTTTTCTCAATACTAAAACACACTGTAAGCATTTCAAATTCGAAGCGCCATAAGGTATTCTGAGAACGAGTATGCATATTCTGCTTCGTGTAAGACATCCGCCACCTTAATATATAGCTGAGACGTTTCTGAATACTAATTGGGTATCTACTCAAATTCTAAATGCCAAATGGTGTTCTGGGATCGAGTAAGCATATTCTGTTTCGTGTAAAACACCCGCCACAATATAATGTATAGCTGTAAAGTAAATCTATACAAATGTATCATGATTTGGCCCAGAATTAAAATAATTTCTCCCGAACTATAAACCTTTCAATTATAGAACTAAAGGTTGCCTAATAAATTTGCAAGTCACTTATGTCATTATAGATTATATATATTTACATGTCTATATGATATATATAATTGTTTACCTTCATATGATATGTCTTTCAAACCTTAGAAAATGTGAAATATATTTATGTTAAGAACATCGTGTCGTTTGTTTGATTATACAGCAAGGAGAAAGAAATGAATCGGGGTTTAACGTCCTGCTATTCTACGCCAACCGGGTTAAAAAGACTGGTAAACACCATGCAATGTGCAATGTATGAGGGACATTTTGCCAGATAGGAGCATTTTCAACATTTCTTCGCATTTCAACTGTCAGGGATTCTTTTACATATATGTCAGGTTTTTTTTTTTATCTCATCCGAACGATTAGACGCCTTTTCCTTGCCAGGCCCTCTATCCTGCATCACTGACAAGGGGAAACCAGGCTGGATAATTCCAGACACCGGGGATCGACCCTCCTGGTTAGTGAGCCACCGTGGCACCCATAGAGAATCTGACAGCAAAGTGGATTATAAAAGCATAGCAGTTCATCTATTAACAAAGTTCGTAGGGGACACTTCCATATGAAATTAAGCGGGTTACGCCCATTCGGTTTTGTTTGGGGGTGGGGTGGTAACTAAGGGGATACCAGTAGAGCGAATAGAACTGGTTTATGATAAACGATATATACACTACAACTTGCCGTGATTTGAATATGCGGGTATTTAAATTTGATTGGATACTAAATTTGAGACATATATACCAATTCATAACTGAGACATAGGTGTTGTAGAGTTCAACGGACTCGAATGAACAATACATTGATGTAAGTAGGCTAGTTCCTGGAGAGTCCATTGTCTCTTTAACCATGATCTTGTGATCGTACTCAGAATTTTGACGATGTCGTTGCGCATTAAACGCTGGATCTGTTGTTTAGCTTCCCAATGACAGATATTAAATATACCGTCATGGGTATCTTCTTTGAGTATCAATTAGGTTACTAAAATACTAACGGGAGGCAGCAACCGAGGCAGCTGAAAACAAATGGATTTACAGTTTGATTTGCTAAACCGATTTGGTGAATTTATAACACATCGATTGTGAAATATTTAAATTCTGATATTGTGAGAAAAGATGAGTATTGTTGTAACGATTGATGATGAAGATGGCGAAATCTGATTTGTTGACACATAAATTATTATATCAGCACTTTTAAAAGCTAAGATTAACAACATTTTATTGATGCTGTGGGAAATCTTGGGCGTTCATTCACATTTAAAGAGCCTTTAACAAACTCCATGCGATAAACACCTTAGTCAGGTGACTAAGGTTAGTTACGGATTAAAATAAATAGCACTGTACAGACGTAGGATTTGGCCTTTTTAATAGCTTAAGTTAGACGATGCATGGTTGTGTAGAATTCGATATCTTCCTGAAGACAGCATTATCAATGTCGCAATCAAACAATATAAAACATCCCCATTGTTCAAATGAAAACACGAGCGGCTGAAAGGAAATGTCCTACTTTTCTGTCGAATTCAAACTGACAAGGGGAAACCAGGCTAGAAAATCTCCCTCGGTCAATACCCGATTGTTACCAAGCCAGTGCCATACCCTCTCCGCCATTGCAGAGCTCTGCTTTAACGAGTATGCCGCATTTTGCACCCAGCATAGCAGTAATCACCCGCTAATAACTTCTCGCAAAATTTTCTTCAGACCCCCGTTTTGTCATTGAATGTCATCAATATGACAGCCATTATTAATACGTCTATCCTGTGATTTGTCTAGTGTAAACAGTTCATTAATCCATGATTAATCACGATGTTTTGAAGGTTTTACGTCAAAGATTCAGTCGATAATCCAGATCTAATGTGTCAATTGTCGTTTAGAAATAACCCACACTAACACATCATATTGTCTTAACTTTGAAACATATAAACCGCGACCCGAAAAAAGAAAAGGACAATAAAAATCAAATTGTAATTTTTTTGATTACGAAGATATAGCCTTCTAACCTTGTCTGTACACGTGATATTTACGTGATATTGTGTGATTGTCAGGCGCTCGCCAATGAAATAATTTTAAAGTATCTTAAAAAAAATAAATCCCTATATAACTAATATCCCCAAACAAAATTCGTTTTGTCGTTTAAACCGTTTATCGATAACCGACCTTCATATTGTAAATGATATTATGATGTCGCAGAAGACAATGTGGTGTGTTTAATAGGATCAAATATCTCATGGCAGATGCCTATAATATGTAGTCTACTCCACTGTTGGCGTCTTAAGATACAATGATAATCATATGGTGTATGTATATGGCTCTTAATCCCAACTGAGCCAGCAAAGTAAATAAAATGAATGGAGTCTCGTCAGCTATATAGACTAACGCGAAGACAATATTTGTTTTCCATCTGTCAGTGGTGCAGGACCAGTGCGTAGGGCCTGACAAGGAACAGTGTTCATTCATTCGGATGGCACGAAAAACCGAGGTCCCATGCACATATTGACATGACAGTTGGTAATTCAAAATAAGAGTAAGCAGCAGCGCCACTGCCCGACCAAACTTTTACGTCATGTCCGTCTTCATTAGCACAGTAGGTGTATAACGCAGGACGTTAAACTCCATCTCATTTTGTTTTCTATATGCGTGTACATTGAAGAATGGATTTATTTTACCAAAGCAACACACACTTGTACCACATTTATTGTAGAGCGTTACTTTTGCCATGGCGATTGCAAATTCCGAAAATCCTCCCTTTACTCTGCCGTTCTCTGACCGTAACATATATACCGAGAATTGATATGAACAAAGTATTTATATCATAGGTTCCCAATCTTTTTTGGGTGGCGACCCCATTCCAGACTCAGGATCAGATCGCGACCCCTCGAAGAACAAAGTCACATTTTATTATGAAACATCATTATCATTCACTTTTATTATTGTTTACTTATTAAAAGTCTGATAACAAATTATTGATTTTTATAATCAGTGTTATGGTTGCGCCTGTTTTTCAGCGACCAGATTTTCAATGCGTGGCTCAACGCCACTCATCGCGACAATCATGTCCCTTTCTATTTCAAGCCGGTTCCTAAATTTTGTTTTTATCACAACCATTGTAGAAAACGACTGTTCGCATAGGTATGACGACGGGTACGGCATGAGGAACCGTGTTGCATTCTTGGATAGACGTGGATAGGATTCAAGCATTTTGCACCAGTAACTGGACAAATGAAATGAAATGGGGTTTAACGTCCTGCTGTTCTCCTCCGAACTGGGATAATGAAGACGGGCATACGCCATACAGTGTGCTATGGGGGAAATTTTGCCCGGACAGCGGCACTACTGTCAAGGGATCTTTTACGTGCACGCCAATGTGTACACCGGACCTTCTTTTTTCGTCCCGTCCGAACGACTAGACAGCTTTCCTTGTCAGGCCTGCCGTCCTGCATCACTGACAAGGGAAAACCACGCCGGAAAATCTGGATGAACTTTCTCGGCCAATGCAGGGATCGAACACCCAACCTCCAGGCTATTGAGCCAGCGTCTTACCCACTTAGCCACGTGATCCCCCGTAACTGGACAAAGACAAGGACTTGTACAGTGATTTAGCTCCGGAATCCTGCTGCAGTCTCCCGACCTCCTCTTGAGCGATATCATCGTCGGTGATGGCGTCTAATGGTGCACTGTATGGGTCTCGGACCACGGTGAATGACTGGACTTCGAGCTCGGGGAAGTAGTGTTCGAACTGATCGATCAGTGACTGAAGATGTTCAATGAATAGATAAGTTTACAGCCGTTAAAGGGATGTTTTTTTCAGTTGAAAAACTCACGGAAAAACAATCGAAACTGTTTTAGAGACTAGAGAAGTATTTATATCCCCTTGTCAGTGGTACAGGGCAGAAGGTCTGACAAGAAAGTGTCTAGTCGTTCGTATGGGACGAAAAACAGCTGTCCCGTGTACGCGTTGGCATGCAGGTAAAAGAACCCTTTATAGATGTAATCCGAAATAAGAGTAGGCCGAGCAAGGAATAGTGTCTAGTCGTTCGGGCGCTAAACTTAGTGCCGTGTACACGATGACATAAGCGCAATGAAACTCTTGGCAGTTGGAATTCGAATAAGAATAGACAGAAATGCTGCTCTCCGGATAATTTCTTTCTCATAACACACTGCATCGCGTATATTAGCCTTAATTCGTCCGGTTGTTGAAAACAAGTAGGACGTTAAACCCCATTTCACTTTTATTGAGTCAACTGGTGTGGTTTCGATTACCCGGTTGTACGTGACAAGGAGTAGGGTCGTCTGTTCTA